AAAAACAGCGGAACCGGGAAAAGCGGCAAAAAACAGCGGAATCGGGAAAAAACACCGGAATCGGGAAAAACGCCAAAAAACAGCGGAATCGGGAAAAAACACCGGAATCGGGAAAAACGCCAAAAAACAGCGGAATCGGGAAAAAACACCAGAATCGGGAAAAACAGCGGAATCAGGAAAAACACCAAAAAACAGCGGAATTGGGAAAAAACACCGGAATCGGGAAAAACAGCGGGAAACAGCGGAATTGGGAAAAAACACCGGAATCGGGAAAAACAGCGAAAAACACCGGAATTGGGAAAAACAGTGGGAAACAGTGGAATTGGGAAAAACACCAAAAAACAGCGGAATCGGTAAAAAACACCGGAATCGGGAAAAACACCAAAAAACAGCGGAATCGGTAAAAAACACCAAAAAACAGCGGAATCGGGAAAAACGCCGAAAAACAGCGGAATCGGGCAAAATGCCGGAAAACACCGGAAACCGCGCGCGGGGGAGGGGAGAGAGAGCCGGGGGGAAAAAAGGGGGATTTTTTGGGGAAAAAAGGGGATTTTGGGAAAAAGAGGGATTTTTGGGGGGAAAAATGGGGGTTTTGGGGGGAAAAATGGGGATTTTGGGGTAGAAAAGGGAGATTTTGGGAAAAAGGGGGATTTTGGGGTGAAAAATGGGATTTTGGGGTGAAAAGGTGAATTTTGGAGTGAAAAAGGGGATTTTGGGGTGGAAAAGGTGAATTTTGGGGTGGAAAAGGGGGATTTTGGGGTGAAAAGGTGAATTTTGGGGTGAAAAGGTGAATTTTGGGGTGAAAAAGGGATTTTGGGGTGGAAAAGGTGAATTTTGGGGTGAAAAAGGGGATTTTGGGGTGAAAAAGGGAGATTTCGGGGCTCTCACCCTTCTTGAGGCGCTGCTGGTTCTTGCTGTTGATGACCAGGGAGCCCTCGCGGAACTCGATGCCCATGGCGAACCTGCGGCCCCCGAGTGACCCCCGAGTGACCCCCGAGTGACCCCCGAGTGACCACCGAGTGACCACCGAGTGACCACCGAGTGGCCACGGCGGCCCCCAGGCCCGGCCGGACCCCAAAACCCCCCGTTCTCACCCCAAATTCTTGGTGATCTTGCCCAGCAGCTCCGGCCGCTGCTTCTTGACCACGTCCATGACGGCGGCGTAGACGTCGCAGAGCTTGGCGCCTGCGGCGGTCACTCGCGGTCACTCGGGGGTCAGTGGGGTCACTCAGGGGTCATTGGGGTCACTCAGGGGTCATTGGGGTCACTCAGGGGTCAGTGGGGTCACTCAGGGGTCAGTGGGGTCATTCAGGGGTCAGTGGGGTCACTCAGGGGTCATTGGGGTCACTCAGGGTCACTCAGGGGTCATTGGGGTCACTCAGGGGTCATTGGGGTCATTCAGGGGTCACTCAGGGGTCATTGGGGTCACTCAGGGGTCAGTGGGGTCAGTCAGTGGTCAGTCAATGGTCACTCAGTGGTCAGCTGTCACTCGGGTCAGTCAGTGGTCACTCAGGGGTCAGTCAGTGGTCACTCAGTGGTCAGTCAAGGGTCACTCAGGGGTCAGTCAATGGTCACTCAGTGGTCAGTGAAGGGTCACTCTGGCGTCAGTCAGTGGTCACTCAGTGGTCAGCACCTCCTGCAGCTGCAGCAGGAAGCCGTGGTGGCCATGGGGGGTCAGGGATGGGGTCAGTGATGGGGTCAGTGACGGGTGGGTCAGTGGTCAGTCAGTGGTCAGTCAGTGGTCAGTCAGGGTCAGTGACGGGTGGGTCAGTGGTCACTCAGGGTCACTCAGTGGTCACTCAGGGTCACTCACCGTGGCGCAGCTCGCGCAGCAGCACCTCCTGCAGCTGCAGCAGGAAGCCGTAGTGCTCCTGCATGTCCTGGCTGGGGTCCACCATCAGCGTGCGCACCAGGTTGGAGCAGTAGGACTTGTAGCGGATGCCCATGGAGCAGGTGATGGCCCCGAAGTGCATGTGGCTCTTGTCGCTACGGCAACGGGGCGAAAACGGGGGGAAACGGGGAAAACGGGGGGGGAAATGGGGAAAAAATGGGGGAAAATAGGGGAAAATAAATGGGGGAAAAATGGAGAAAATTGGGAAAAAATGGGGGGAAATGGGGAAAAAATGGGGAAAATTGGGGGAAAATAGGGGAAAATGGGGGAAAATAGGGGAAAAACAGGGAAAATAAATGGGGAAAATTGGGGGAAAATAGGGGAAAATAAATGGGGGAAAAATGGGGAAAATTGGAGGAAAATAGGGGAAAATAAATGGGGGAAAAATGGGGAAAATTGGGAAAAAATGGGGGGAAATGGGGAAAAAATGTGGGGAAATTGGGGGAAAATAGGGGAAGAACAGGGAAAATAAATGGGGGAAAAATAGGGGAAAAATGGAGAAAATTGGGGAAAAAATGGGGGAAAACAGGGGAAAAACAGGGAAAATAAATGGGGGAAAAATGGGGAAAAATGGGGGAAATCAGGGGAAAATAGGGGAAAAACAGGGAAAATAAATGGGGAAAAAATGAGGAAAAATGGGGAAAAAATGGGGGGAAATGGGGAAAACCAGGGAAAATAAATGGGGGAAAAATGGGGAAAATTGGGAAAAAATGGAGGGAAATGGGGGGAAATTGGGGGAAAATAGGGGAAAACCAGGGAAAATAAATGGGGAAAAAATGGGGAAAAAATGGGGAAAAATTGGGGGAAAACCAGGGAAAATAAATGGGGAAAAAATGGGGAAAAATGGGGAAAAAATGGGGGGAAATGGGGAAAAATTGGGGGAATATGGGGAGGAAAAGGGGGGAAAATGGGGGGAAAAAAGAGGGAAAAAACGGGGGAAAAATGGGGAAAAAGCCCAGGAAAAACAAGGAAAATTAATGGGGAAAAATAGGGAAAAAATGGGGAAAAAATGGGGAAAAAACAGGGAAAAATGGTTGAAAGGGGAAACACAGGTTAAAGCAGGGAAAAAGGAGGGGAAAACGGGGAAGAAATGGGGGAAATAGGGAAAAAATGTAAAAAATGGGAAAGAAACAGGGAAAAACGGGAAAAAATTGGGATAAAAACCAGAGACCGGCGAGGAAAAAAGGCAAAAACCACAAGGTTGGGGGAAAATTGTGAATTTAGCAGGAAAATATCAGGGTTTTGGGGGAAAAAAAAAAAAGGCTGTTTTCAGGGCAGAGCCGTTTTCACCCATCAAACCCCGAATTTGGGGTGAAAAGCCCGGTGCCGTTCCCCGTTTTGGGGGGATTTGGGGGGATTTGGGGGCTCACCTGACCACGCTGAACTTGAGGTTGTAGTTGCCGCCGCTCTGGATGATGGGGGGGTAGCACATCTCCACGGCCGAGGGGTCGGCGCCCGCCAGGTACTTCTTCTCCTCGATGGCCTTCTCCACGGCCTCGGCCAGCTTGCTGTGCCGCACCTTCTGCGTTTGGGGCCAAAAACGCCCGGTTCGGGGCCAGCACCAGGTGGGGAACGTGGGTTTGACCACCCCAGGGGACCTCAAAGTCAGGAGTTTTGGGGCTAAATCGGCCACGGGGACGTTGCTTTAATTAACGGTGAGGGGGGACGAGGAACGGGGTTTGGATGAAACGGGTGGGTTTGAGCTGAACTGGGCTCAAAATCTCGTTTCTGGGTCAATCTGAGCGCAAAATCCAATCTTTGGTCCAACCCGATCTCAAAACTTCTGTTTTTAATCCAATTTGACCTCAAAACTCTCATTTTTGGGCCAACCTGACCTCAAAATCAAATTTTTGGGACAATCTGACCTCAAAACTCCCATTTTTAATCCGATCTGACCTCAAAATCTCATTTTTGGGTCGACTTGACCTCAAAACTCTTGTTTTTAATTCAATCTGACCTCAAAACTCCCATTTTTGGGCGAAGCTGACCTCAAAACTCCCATTTTTAATCCAATCTGACCTCAAAATGAAATTCTTGGGCCAACTTGACCTCAAAACTCCCATTTTTGGGTTAACCTGACCTCAAAATGAAATTTTTGGGCCAATCTGACCTCAAAATGAAATTTTTGGGCCAACTTGACCTCAAAACTCCTGTTTTTAATCCAATCTAACCTCAAAATGAAATTTTTGGGCCAATCTGACCTCAAAACTCCTGTTTTTAATCCAATCTGACCTCAAAACTCTCATTTTTGGTCCAACCGGACCTCAAAATCCAAATTTTGGTCCAATCTGACCTCAGAATCCAATTTTTGGTCCAATCTGACTTAAAAACTCCCGTTTTTGGTCCAACCCGACCTCGAAATTCCCGTTTGTGCCCCACCCCAGCCCGAAACGCGCGGCCCAACCTCGTCGGCGTCGACGATCTCCATGACGCGCTCCTTGAAGAACTTGGTGAAGACCTCGGAGGTGATGGCGGCCGCCTTGCGCATCAGCTGCAGCTCCACCTCCTCCTTGGCCGCCATGGCCTGCGCCACGGCCGCGCTCACGTCCACCTGCGGTCAGTGCGGCGGGCGTGGGGATGGGTCCGGCCGGTCCGAACCGGCTCTGACCGCTCCGACCCAACTCCAACCCAACCTTGACGCATCCAACCCAACTTTGACCAACTTAACTCAATATCGACCCATCCAACCCGACTTAGACCAATCCAAACCAACTTTGACCAATTTAACTCAATATCGACCCATCCAACCCAACTCTGACTGATCCAACCCAACTCCAACTTTTCCAACCCAACTTTGACCCACCCACCCAATTTTGACCAATCCGACCCAACTTGGACTGATCCAACCCAACTTTGACCCACCCACCCAATTTTGACCAATCCGACCCAACTTTGACTGATCCAACCCAACTTTAACCCACCCAACCCAACTTAGACCAATCCAACCCAACTTTGACCAATTTAACTCAATATTGACTGATCCAACCCAATTTTGACTGATCCAACCCAACTCCAACTCTTCCAACCCAACTTTGACCAATCCGACCCAATTTTGACCAATCCAACCCAACTCTTCCAACCCAACTTTGACCAAACCAACCCAAATTTTTCAACTCAACGTTGACCAATCCAACCCAACCTTTCCAACCCAAACTTGCCCAATCCGACCCAACTCTTCCAACCCAATTTTGACCCACCCAACTCAACTCTGATCAATCCAACTCAATGTTGACCAATCCAACCCAACTTTGACCAATCCAACCCAATTTTGAGCCATCTAACCCAATTTTGACCAATCTAACCTGATTTTGACACATCCAACCCAACTCTGACCAATCCAAACCAACTCTGATCAATCCACCCCAATTTTGACCAATCTAACTCAACACTGACCAATCCAACCCAACTCTTCCAACCCAACTCCAACTCTTCCAGCCCAACGTTGACCCATCCAACCCAACTTTGACCAATCCGACCCAATTTTGACCAATCCAACCCAACTCTTCCAACCCAACTTTGACCAAACCAACCCAAATTTTTCAACTCAACGTTGACCAATCCAACCCAACCTTTCCAACCCAAACTTGCCCAATCCGACCCAACTCTTCCAACCCAATTTTGACCCACCCAACTCAACTCTGATCAATCCAACTCAATGTTGACCAATCCAACCCAACTTTGACCAATCCAACCCAATTTTGGCCAATCCCACCCAACTTTGACCAATATGACCCAACTTTAACCAATCCGACCCAACTTTGACCAATCCAACCCAACGTTGACCCATCCATCCCATCCCTCCCACCCATCCCGGCCCCTCCCACCCATCCCGGCCCCTCCCACCCGCCCGGCCCCGCCCCTCCCGGACCTTCTCGAAGCCCTCCTTGCTGAGGGCGTCGTTCCAGCTCTTCATGAACTCCCCCGGGAATTTGTCCTTGGAGAAGACCCCGAGGCGCCGCCCGCCCCGGCTGCTCTTGAGGGCCTCCAGCAGCTTCTCAAAGTTGGCCTTGTTGCTCTCGTTCTGCGGGGGGCGGGGCCGTGGAGGGGGCGGGGTCACGGAGGGGCGGGGCAGCACAGGGAGGCCACGCCCGGCATCGGGGGGGCTCCCGCCCCAACCCCCCCACGGGCCCCCCGAGACCCCCAAGG